TTTTTTTACTTTTCCTTTACAGTCTCGGGATATTCTTATTTTCCGTGCAAGTCGGCTGGATGAACGTGTGTTCATTCAGCCTTTAGGTCGCATCACTTGTAAATGTTTCGCGCTCCCTTTTAATGATGAATTCATTTATATTCCACTGCTACATTCATTCGAAAAATAAAACATACCCTTGACCATCGGTTTTGAAAATTGGAAGAATTTTGTTGATGAGTTTACTCATGTACGTGCATCTGTTACAGATGTACAAAGTTTTTAAGTTCTTGGATGACGATCAGTTCTCCATTGGTTGCGAAGAATGGTTTATCGATGAAAGAACCATTCGCTGGAGAACGTTTGATGACTACGTGGAAATGGAACGCGCGCTAATTAACAAAGAGGCCATGCCTTCAAGCGGCATCACGCGCTCCGTTGCAATCATCAAGAATTTTGGTACGCATCCCAAAAAATCTGATTGAGCCTTTACACGTCTTCAGGAGCTTACTCTGAGGCAGTCCGGTTCCGTGCAGTGCTAAACTCCAGCGATGGCACTTCAGACACGGAGCCACAGACCTATTTTCGGCTGCATTATGGTGTCCGCGAGAGGTATCGTTTGGTAATAACCGATCCATTTTTCAGAAAACGCAACCCGAGGTACTCGTCACTTTGTGAAGGGGCTGAGAAACAGCCATCGCAGAGGTCTTTCAAAAGGTTCACCTACGCAACACCCCCGCGAAGATTGTCCTCACCCGTTGAGTAAGTGCGGCCATAATTTCAGTTTGATGTATATTCTAAATGTAGTTCGGCTCATGGCCAGCTGTCATCCGCGATTTCGCCACCACCTCTTCGGGTCATGGAGAGAACCAATGACTCCGATGAGGACACAAGCGATTCTGATGGATTGCGTGTGTCGGATTACTCAAACAGAAAAGTGGTGCGCATCCTGCGTGACGAGGCCGTGAAAGCCGAGGCATTCCGAAGTGAGTTTACATCACTTTTATTGCTTATTCGAATATTAGAAGAAACCTTGGATCGGTTGGAAAAGCTGGATGTGCGGCTGAGATCTTTAGAGCTAGGTCTCAGTTCGGGTGCGTCCACACAACAAAAGCGAAAAACAATTACGGAAGAGATAAACGAAATGACCAAAATGGAAGATCTGGATACTTTCTTGGTCAGATTGTTGGACGCAGATTTTCGTGAACAGTCAGTGAGTACCTCAACCCTGGTCACACTTTGTGATAAAGGTAATTTATCTTTCCAGATTGGTCTGCCCTGACCCTCGCCGGTCAGTGAGGAACATGCTGCGTGCTCTGTTTGCTCCGGAGTTCGCAGATCGCTTGACGTGGTCGAAGGGTGAAGAAAAAAGACCCATATCATGCACAGAGTTGCCAGCACTCATAAAGGGTGAGGTAGCTGTTTTATATTGACACTTGTCACTTCAGATGCAATGTATTCCGTGGCCGCACATTCGAGTGTCGCAGTGGATTTCATTGAGAAATCAATCCAGGCTTGGTTCAAGGGGGCTTTCGATCGAATCCCTGGAAACCGGAAGCTGCGACGCGAGAGGGCCGCCTTGCGGCGCATCCGAAAACATCAATGACGCTGTAATTATGTCATCAATAGATTCATATTTTTGCAGCAACGTTGTTATCTTTTGACCATGCAGCGTGTTGTCGTAAGAACGACGCGTTTGGTAATTATCTCCGGCGTTCGGGAAAAATACGCATGCCATGAGGTTAGATAGTCAGCAATTATTACTCACAGAGGTAGTAAGCCAAAAATATGCCCCGACAAATTTGTGGTTGCCACTGTTAGCCTATTCCGGCTGCAAAGGGTTTCGAAGAAGGCCATGAAAAGATTAGGGAGATTTTTTCGAGTGGCCGCCTTTGGCCGCCCCTAGCCACCGGTGGCAAGTGTAACATGCCACCCCTTTTTGCCACCTTTAGCCACCCTTTGCCACCGGTGGCGCCACCGGTGGTGCCACTGGTGGCGTGTTTACTGGGTAAAAGTGTCACCGAAAATTAGCTGGTTGAACAGCCTTGAGCCGTTTGTTTTCAGATGTATATACACGAACAACACTCTAGCTTCACAATGCTTGATGCAACAGTCCCAGCTTTATTTTCAAAAATTGCGGTGCAACTAGCCGGGATAACGTATATGCACCAGTGCATTATTAGAATCCGGATTTCCTTACAAGCTCCTCTGCAATACGGGTGATGTAGTTCAGCTCAGTTAAGTCAACAACTTTTCCATTCTCCATTCTTGTGAACTATGAGGAATTCATGAATAGCTCCGTAGGATTTTCATAACAAATATAACCTTACTTTGATTTATGTGCACTGCAAAAGCGTTTCAAAGTGTTTGTTCCAGTTTCACTCTGACTTTGCCTAGAGTATACCGTTTTTTCCGTGTAATCCCAGGCGACTTATACGGTTTCTACATGCATGTGATGCTGGTGTTAGTGATAAACCAGTGATACCTAAAGCGCTATCCAGCGACTATGTATAACTATGCCGTCGAAAATGAGGTATTTATCGTGCAGGTCCAATTTGTATGGGACGAGGAGGTTTAGGTTAGGAGGTTGTGATAATGGCATCAGCCATGGGTTTATATCACAACGGCAAACGAAGTGTGCACGCGAAACTAAGCGATCGCGATCGGTTGTACACACTCTTTGATGCGGAAAAACAAACATCTGGTCGTCAGGCGGATACGCTGCAAAAGAGAAAATACCTGTTGTAAGCCGAAAGCTAATTTGCATGAACATTCATCTTTACGGCTAAGCTATGAAATAACGCGTGAAAGTATAAATCACAGGCTCGGTGTTCAGGTGCGCGTCCTAATTAACATTTATGGGCATCCAGTATTCGCACAATTGAATGGAATTTTCGAAGGCTATGACGTGTCCCTGATGGATTAAAGTGTTCGAACAATTGAGTTGAGAGTAATGGTCCAAACTTTTGAGCCCCTTCTAGGCATCCCGGCGTCTTAGCGACGCTGGGAAATCATTCCACCAAATTTTTCAGCCAAAGGCATGATTGCCTCAGTGGAAAATGAAAATTGGGAGCTGAAAGAATATTAACGTAGATAAGATTGTTTTTGGTTCGAGCACATACGCAACAAAACGCAACATTTTGGCTAAAATGGTTTCACTTCACTCGCAGAAGTTTCGCAGCTAAGAGAATTGTGCGGCTAATGGGCTCAACGTATGGGCACTAAACGATTCTCAAACACAAACCCAAAATCAATTTAAGTCCATAATTCGAACACGAAGTTTTAGCATTTGACAGAATTTGGCGGGAATCTTAAAACCTTGACAGGCAGCCGCAGCCTTTTACGAGTTATTTAGACACACTCAAGGGCTACTCTGGGGGCGGAATTCGTATTGTCAATGGCTGCCATGGTCCGTTGGTCGATCAGTAGAAGCAAGTCGTTAAATTCCTATAAACCGTCGTTCCAACGAAGAAAATTCGTACACAACATTCTGTATTTGGTTGTATACATTCGAGCCCTTGAAACTCCCTATGCAGCCGCACTTTAAGGTTGCTCTCTTTATGAGCTGATTCAAAGCGCTGGAGGGGTGGTGGGTTGCTTTACATTTCCATGCGACCAAACACTTCTCTTCATTGAATCCGCCATGGAATCCCCTGTTTCCCATAAAAACACCTGAGTAACTCTTCTCCAGCTACTACTCCACTTACTTCACTGATGATCTTTGATTTCATCTGCTACTGGCCACAAATGCTGAACCTAAAATGTGGTTTTTAAATTTCTGCCATGCAGAGTTCTCAGGGATGTACGTCTCGTTTTATCAATAAAAATTGTAACCTGCTTGAGCGAAAGAGCTATACAGGACAATTTTCAGAAAGTTCACGAGGCCGCCGCGATATTGACCCCAAAAACTGACACGCAGTCCGATGGACCGCATGCCACCAAACATAATTCGCACCTTTTTGGAAGAGGATTCAAACATTTTAGAAATTTGACTACATCGGACGTGGAAGATGAGCTGGCGTTCTGTAAAATGCGGAACCACTGCAAATACAAAATCCGCCGAGGGGAAATACGAAAATAAGTCACCACACTGGACCTTGCCAGGAAAGGCGAAAGTATAAATACATGGGGCGTCGACGCTGAAGTAAGCTAACCACACTCTCCATGAGGGATAAGAATGGGGAACCGAAGAATGACGTATAGAGGGATATGAGGCGTGTATTCTGTCCCAGTGACTTCGCCACACCCAGGCCATTGAAGCATATCTGTGAAAGGCCTCCGAGCATTTCGGTCTTCACAAATGGCGATATTCATCAACTCTAGCATAAGACAAACCTGTTCTGCGCGTGCTGGTCAGATGAGGCCAAACCAAGGTTCGTGATGGGAATGTCACTCACATTAACGAAGCATTCCTACCAAGTGCTTCGTCAGTCGCCCGACAAAGTAAGCTTCCCCCTGCTTGCGAGAAAGCAATCAACACACCAATCTACGAAAATGGTGACCTGCCCGGTGACCTACACCCCGCAGCTACAAGCTTACTGGACTCACCAGCGTACCGTGAATGTTCTGAAACGTTCTGAAGCAGGTCATCATATAACACGACCAACCCTCGAATCAACCCGGATTCCTCGAAAACCGTTCTTGCGTGACAAACATGTCCATATTTATTGACAACTTAACCCACGATAGGGAGTTTGGACTCATCAACCTCTCAGAAGCCTCCGATGGAGTCCCACAGGTCCAGATGCTCCACAAACTCGTGTCGTACGAGATTCATAAGGAAATCCCACGCTTGATTAGGAAGTTTCTAACAGACAACAAATTCCTGGTGAAAGCGGGCTCGACATACCCTTCTCCATCGACGGTCTCCATGGGAGTTCCTCATGGCTCTTTTTTCAGACCAAGTCTGTTTTCTCTTTGCTTCAGCAACCTTCCAGAGTTTCTTCCAAGTCCATGTTCCCTTCTAGCAGATAACCTCAAATCCTGGAGTTCAAATTACGGTGCCCTTAAATTGGGTGTAGGTGCTGCCGACCAGCATTCGTTGGACAGACACCTTCCGCCGAATGACGAAAAGTGCGTTTAAATGTCATTCAGATTGGACTCAGGGAACGCGTTTGTCATCTATGGTGAGAAACGGACCAAGACACACTAGGATGATGATGATGATGATTTGGGTGTTTGGCTCTGTTCAAACATGTCCTTCTCACGTCACCATAAAATCGGTTCAAAAATCATTTGCAGTTCTACGCATGGGCGTCTAAATACGATATTATGCATACGTCAAACAACTTCTTGAATATTCCAAACAAGCTGTCTACTCAGGGCAAAAGAAGGACGTAACCCTCATTGAGCGCGTCCAACGAGCTGCCACAACGTGGGTCACCGACCTTGAATCCATGGAATATGAAGCTCATCTCGTGTTTCTTGACCTGTTTTCTCCGGACTATCCTCACCTCAAAGGAGACCTACTACCTTTTGAACAAAATTTGGCCAACAAGTTTTTTCATTGTTGATCCAGCTGACAGATCAAAGCACTACTAAATGCAAATTCTTACGCCAGCAAATAACTGCCTTTTGCTGAGATCCTAGAAGCTGCGCTGCACCCGTGTTTTCTTTTTCAGACGAAAGGCAACCCTTGAAACACAAAAAAATTGACCTGGGAATATTTGGCAGAAGCCTTGATCCTATGTATTGATTCGTTACTCATTATCCACTATGGCCACATAATTCCTATTTTATTGCCTGCCAGTGGCACAGCAAAGTCCGCGTGAACTCGTAGTAGAGTAGTCATTGCTAACTGTTATAGGAAAGACTATTCCATCGTTGCACGTTCTGCCAGACAAAGCCAGAGAATACGTCTCATCTTGTGGTACAGCACACGCGGTATCGATTGAATGGCAAGATTTTATCTTCACCGCTCTACTGACTCCTTGATAATGTCATGGCAAAAATCAGTGGGCTTATGAGAGAAAACTGCGGAGGATACAATGGACAATGTTTTGAAGTTCTGGCACAAATTCAACGGTTTGGTTCGGCCTTGTTGGCACATGTGGCACGTTTGGTCTGGAAATAGCATAGATAAAGTAAACTGAGAGCAAGACATCACAGTGGGCATGGCTCCGTCATCGCGACGTCATACTTGGATCTGTGGATAGCCCCGTACGTGAATATCCTGGATGAGTCAACTGGGGTTGTCATGATAGTTAGGATTTGCCAAGAAACCGTGACAACTTAAGACCAAAATGGATCAAGGATATTCTTGGGTCCATTGAGGTAGTAGCGAGTAGCGTCTTCTCGTTTATAAAGTGTGATCTATTACGGAAGTTGTGGAGTCGTTTTGAAGCATTTGCTTCTTTTTGAGTTTTACTTCCGTGTCCAATATTCAGTAACTGTCCAGTTGGCATTTTTAATAAATAACTCCGCAGCAAATGCTTTCTTCCTTTCGTTTGATGCCGTTGCCAGGATAAGGATGAAGATCCCGTGGCCACAACCCCTTGAAGATGGAGATGTTGTAACCTCCCTGGAGGACTGCGAGGAAGTTTCGGAGGCCGCTGCACTGGAGACCGACCGGATTAAGTTAGCGGTACTGAAGACCCTCCTCATGGGCCGAGCGTAGGCGGCCCTGGATTGGGCCAGAAGTGGCCCTAAGATAGGCTGGGCCGCCGCGAAGGAAACAATTGCAGCGGAGTTTGACTCACCAGCCGACTGCCGTGAGGCTATGAGGCGGTTCAAGACGGCAGTATAGTACTTGCATCTGACTCGAACGTCTTCTTTGCCTGCCTGCAGTAGACGTTAAGTTGTGCCTTGCCGGGACTGGACGGAATGTCTAACGGTCAGTTGCTGTTTAACCAGTTCATCGGAGGAGTGCAGCCGGCAATTGGTGCCCAGTTGCGGTTGGTGGGAGCAACTGGCCAGATGAATGTAGAGCAGCCGGTGCAACTTGCCGGGAATTGCCCGAGGTAACACTGGCCACATTGCAGCCGCAGGACAACGGGAATGGTTCACCAGTGGACGAACTGCAGTCCAGAGTGGACCAACTCGTGGAACAGCTTGCAGCCACAAAGACTGAATTGGGGAAGCGCGCTTGAACAAGCTTGTGCTACAAGTGTGGCAGGCCTGGTCATTGGAAGGATCAATGTCTCCATGTCCGAACACCTGCACGTAATAAAAAATTATGTTACTTCTCTTTTCCCGGGTGGGTTACGACTAGCGGAGTGACACAGGCTACCATACAAGCCGTTGTCGAAATAGACGGGGAATGTAAGCTGTGTCTGATTAACATAGGAGCAGGGAGATCGGTGGGGCGGAGGGGAAACCAAGCTGAATGCAGACCCTGTGCACTAGATGTGAGAGCAGTGGGTGGATACCGACTAAAAATTGACGGAATGTCAATGCACTCGATATGCCTAGGCGACAGATCCGTGCAGCAG